CATCGGGTGCGATGCGCGGTGCGGTGCACGAGGTGCGCCAGACGTGCGCTGAGGTGCGCACCTCAATGCGCCGCAACTATGGTTACTAATTACCAATTATATAGTATTATTATATGCATGGGGTATAATTTTGCACAGAGGGTCATACTACTGTAACATTTGAACTACTGGCAGTGTATATCTTCCGATGCTGAAAAAAATGTGTTGTTTGCAACTTGGCACTCTCTCTATAACTTTAATTGTCAAGTACAGCGAGCAAGAAGTGCACAAACTTTTGATAACGGGAGATCAAGGAAGCTGGGGAGCGAGAAAGTCATGCTGGAGAAACAAGCATCGCTGGACTTCTTCATGTATTCCAGGGGTGATGAGGTGCAGGACGTGAAGCCTCGATCTCTGCAGCTCGACAGGCTGCGAAAAACTGACAAGAATTGTTTTTTGCAGCCCAGCCTGCAGCAGCAGCAGCAGCAGCAGCAGAGAACTGACAGGTTTGCTGCGCCTGCGCCTCTTAGCCCATTTGAATCGCCAAGTGATTGCAGATGCAGCATATGCAAGGGTGTGTATACCGACCCAGTTATCCTCTCCTCGGGGTATTCATTCTGCCGAGAGTGTGTGTCCAACTGGTGGAAAAAGAGCCAATCCCAGGATCCTGTGTGTCCAATCACAGGGCAGAGGCAGCAGGGAGAGGCCATTTCAAACATTGCGCTGCAGAAGGTCGTAGCATATTTGCACACTGTTCTTGCGGGCGCTCATAGGTCAAGTGTTAGACAGGTAAGCCGAAACCCGAAACTGATTGCGAGCCATGCTGTGACGTTTCTCCCCTGCTCTTCTACTTGGTCTCACCTTTGAAAATATACTCTCTCCTCTCCTCTTTTCCAGCCTCTCCCTGCCTGACCCTCTTTCGTGTCCCTTTGCTGAGCAGCGGTCTTCTCTTCTCTTCTCTACTCTACCCTACCCTACCTCATTTTCAGTACTATTTTCCTCTGTTCTACTTTCCCGTCTTTCTTTGCCCATCACAGGCGGAATTACTGCAATCTGATCCAGAGGCATATCAAGACATGCCTCTCTCCCTTCGTCTACTTCAGGAGGCTTAAAGCACCGGTACATGGCCACCCGGGCCGCGGGCCCGACACCTCGAATTGTGGAGGTCGAAACGAAAACGCAACCGCCGATCCATTTTATCAACGGCAGGCCCAGCATTTGACGTTCCGGCCTCATTTTTTTCTTGTGGCGACAAGTTCCGGATTGCACGGCTGGGGCCGTGTACTACCGGTTTAAACCACCACTGCCACGCAACCCAGCTGGGCGTGCTCCAGTACTCAAGGGGGCCACAGGTCAGTCTGGTCAACTGGGCCAAGTAAGCTATTGCGCCCCCCAATAGGCCTGAACACCACGACAGTTCGGATGTCCAGGATTGTTAGGAAAACGAGTGCGATACTTCTGCTTTGGGGGCAGTGGTGGTTTAAACTGTTGGCATTCAAACCTCCATGAAAGTGTTGTACATGACTGCCATGCCTGCTCACTGCTCAGGGAATTAATGCTTAACCTCCTGGGTAGTGGCTACCGTCGTCACCCGAACACAACGCACCCTCGTTTTGGCCGACCTCGAAACCCTAATTTCAGTTTTGGACTCGTTAGTAGAGTCGTTACCCAGGGCCTGAAAATGGGGGTCCCCGTTAACCATTTGTGAAGACCAGGTTAACGGAGGCCTTAATTTTCAGACAATTTGTCATGCCATTTATAGCAAAACCCAAGGGCCATTTTAATTTTTAACCGAACTTCCCACCAATTCATAGAGTGGAGACCACAGCAACCTTGAATCAAAACAAAAACAGGCAAAAAATAAAATACAAATAATTGAAATAAAAAACATGACATTTGACCCCCCAAACCCTAATTTCAGTTTTGGACCCGTTAACCAAGGAGCTGAAAGTAGGGGTCCCTGTTACCCACTCGTGGAGTGGTACCCTTGCATACGTAGGTAAGGACCTGATCCACCCTTCTTGCAAGTCCTGGACCGAGATGGAGAAGAAGAAAGGGAAGTACTTGCAGATAAGTAGCAGTTAAGAATAGAATAGGGGCCTTAGTAGATCCAGGCTCCACAAGGATTGTCAATCAATTAGGATAAAGATGCATTCAGGCATGAAGGTTCAGAAACTGGAACATCCTACAATTGCCCCAATCTATATATATATATATATATGTTATGACCCGGACCAATTGCGAAGTACAAATTCACCAATAAAGCACAATGCTGCCCAATTGCAAAAGAAATGAATGAACTTGAGAGGAT